AACAACATTTCAGCATAAATGGAAAGAACATCGAAATCACACATTCAAAACATCGTTATTTCATTTCCAAAACCGTAAAGTACGCCAAAATAGAAGTAAAAAAAAATCATCCTTAATTAAAGAATCAGCATCCACAAAAATGCTATTTTAAAAATGGAAATAATTCATTAAACTTCCGAAACAATCACAGACAAGAATCACCGAAATTGGAAAGCTTTTATCGCACATCAATTCAGAAATTGAGTTGATAAGAAGAGCAAATCGTCTATAAAAGAAAGGAATTGAGCTTGCAGAACACAAGCCCTAACGAAATCACGGAGCCACAAATAGACAGATGAAAAATTTCACAGAAATTCATTCAAAACCCTAAAAAAATCGTGAAAAGAGACTTATCTTTTTGCGGTTTCTTCTTTTTGGATTTTCGTCGCCGTGAGACTAAGTCGGAACCACCCTCATCGATTCCACCACCACCGATAAAACCTTCGCTGGAGCTCGCGAAACCATCCTCTATCCGTCGTCGAAACCCATCCACCTTCGAAACCTGCAAAACCATTAAAATGTGAGAATCATGGCTAATGTTTTAAATATGTTTTGTTCGTTTGATTTATGCAGGAATTAGACGAGAAGAATGTTGAAAGACGGACGAAGGAGGAGAAGACAAAGGGGTTATGGCCACGGAGAGAAAGATGAAGGAAACAGAATCGGAAAGAGGAAAGAGATTGAAGCGCAACCGAAAGAGCAAATGGAGAAAGGTGATTAGGGTTCTCTTGAAACCTCACCAACCCTTTTGTTCAAACCAGACCAACGACGGATCCGGTGAGACGACCCAGCAACCATCTGGCCCAACAGTGCTGGTTTTTTGTTTTACTTTTTCATTTTATAATCTGGGCTATGGGCCCATTTGTTGTTTTTTTAAGACAAGTATAACGCAAACACTATAATAATAACCAAATAATAATAAACCAGAAAAATATAATATAAAAAAAATAACAAAAAAGGATAATTAGAATTAATCTCTAATTTAATATAAATAATATAATTAGAAGTTAGATGTTTTTTTAAACTTAATTTAATTTTTGATTTCACATAAAAAATAATAAAAATATTAATTTAGTATTAATAAAATATTTTTAAATAATTAATTTAGATTTTTAGGATTTAATTGATTTTAGATTTAATTTAAAATAATTTTAGAATTAAAAATAATTCAAAACACTCTAGTTTTTTTAAATATTTAGAATCAACTTTGTTTAGAAATTATTTTATCAATCAATCCTTCCTTTAATTTCCGCTTAATTTAATTTTAAAACAAAAAATAAATAAAAACAATGTAGAATTTCTCTTTGACAATTTCACCAGTTATTTGTCAATTTAATTAATCAATTCTTTAATCCAAGTCTAACCATCTCAATATTCTATTTGAACTTAACCTCCCTAATTATGTTTATTTGCATGTCCGCTTACCGTTATCTATTTTATAATGTTTGTATATCGTTCATTTTAAATTTCTATTTCTCAATTACCCGTCCAAGGGAGAACATGCGCACGACTTCACAAGTTATGCGTATTGTATCTCATATTCATTATTTTCCCCACTCAATCCTTGATCCTTTTCAAGTCGATCAGTTTAATTTTAGATCCTACCCCATAAGGAGGACCCTTTTCTTTTAACCTCACAACTTAGATAAACCATTTCAACTCAATTCAAACTACTCTCCTATTAGAGAATAAGATGACGACTCGTCTTTTCTCCCAGAATCAATCAATCAACAAACCTAATCCATTTGGAACTTTGACCAACCGTCAAAAAGTTCTTCAAACCCTTTAGGGGAACTACAAATACTCTGAGTTAGGAATCTTAGTATAAATAGGAATCTTAGTAATTAAGATTCATGTGTTCAAACTTGTACAAAAACTCAAATTTACTCAAAGTATCTGTGTGTGTTAAGAAACGAATTTCCTGAGTGCAATGTACGCGTGATCACCATATTTTTATATTTTTCACCAAATCATTTAAGATTTTGTCATTTACATTTGCCGTAAATTTACTATGAAGTCATTTACATTGCAATTTACATTTCTGCATTCTTTTACGAATTGTAAATTACTTTTAACAAATCAAGAGAACATTGTCAAAATGTTCATAAATAATAAAATTAGAAACAATTAAAAGCACATGTCCTAGGATCAATCTGGTCGTTTGTGCGAGTAACCAAAATTATAGAATTTGGAAGACTAGCGCTTGTTTACCAATTTCGGCGGTAAACACCCTTGTAATAATGAGTTAGGAATTTAGCGTGTTACACCAAGCCAGTCCTGCCGATTATGGCTTATGCTAAGAAATATCTTCATAGCTTTCTGTATGCGATCATTAAAGCAGTCATCACCTTTTTTTTTATCTTTTGATACCACGTCTTTTGTTTAAATAGGGACTTTGAGATGAAAAAAAATTGAGCTTTACTGGCTACTTAGCTCTTTTACAAGGACATCACTAACTAACTCCTCAAATTTGGCCAAAAAAAGGTACAAAAGTTCTCTCATCGTTGGTCGAGATAACATGAGTGGAGTGAACAAGGCAAGGCATCTTCAAGGATGTGAGTGCTTGTTGACACTTAAGTGTCCATTTGAAAATTTATTATTTCTTTAAACTTGTAAAAATGGATGATTTGGTGTGCTTACTTTTAAAATGAATATATTCATAATCGTCAGCATCTCATTTAGCTTCAAGGTTTCCTTATTCATTGTAGGTGTCACCATGAGGATGTCAGTCACATACTTGTAAGGATTTGCTTATATGCCTCATTTGGATAAAAATCCATAAACTTGTCGCCTCTTATTCTGTGTGTGCATTTTTCTAGATTGAGGGTCATATTATACTGTCAGACTCTTTGAAAAACCCGAGCGATGTGTTGGTCTGCAACCCTTCTTTGTTGGACTTGAAAATCATATAATCCTTATAAAAATCAAATATTTCTCCTTTTTCTTCCTTGAAAACATTATTCATTATCCTTTGATATGTTGCTCATGCATTTTCAAACTAAAGAGAATCATGTTGTACTAGTAGTTAGCTTGCTCAATCATTAAAATGGTATTTCCTCTGCCTAACTCGTACATTGGTATCTTATTGTAGCTAGAGTATGCATCTAATGAAGCTTGTATCCGGCTGAGTTACCAACCAACTTATCTATACTTGCGACCTAATATGAGTCATTAGGGAATGCTTTGTTCCAATCAATATAATCAACACACATTCCACATTTTCTTAAGGCTTTCTTGACTAACACTACATTAGATATCCCCTTAGTATATTTTACCTTAGAAATGAAATTAGCATTCAATAGACCTTGGACTGTCTTCGTTGTTACCTCTGCCTTCTCAAGAGACTATCACCTTCTCCTTTGTGACGTATATTGAGCATTAAGATCAACGTTCAACTAGTAACATGCCACCCTAGGATCTATTCCTGATATCTCGTGCGGAGAGATGGCAAAGAGATTGGTGTTGGCTCTCAAACATTTTACTAATCCTTTATTTCCTTCAGAAGATAGGTCAACTCCTATCCTTACTAACCTCATCAGATTATCGTCTAACTAGATGATCTCAAGGTTTCTATCCATAACTAGTGTTAGGCCTTTCCCTTTGATCCCAGTTGAGAGTCCTAACTCATCTCTTAACAGGGTTTCTTCTTTTTGAAAGCTGAGATTAGCTCCATTTGTCGCTCTGCCAGCTTCACCAGCTCTTCCTTCAAGGACGAAGATAGTTGCTAAGGAATTCTTCAGTATCACTTTCTGTGTTTGACAAACTCCACGAAGGGGTTACAATAGATTGATCATAATCATTGTGGTACTTAACTTTAGATATATGGAGAAACCACGTCGTTTAGGGTTGAAATTGTGAAATTGTGGATTGAAATCATACATTTTTCTTCTTAAATTATAATATTTATATAGTGGGAAAAATTGAGTCTTTCTTATATTCTAAATCTTCACAAAGCTTAATTTGCCAACATCAATTCAATTTTTTTATATTTATTTTAATTGAATTAAGAAACTTGAGATTTACATGTTTTTATAATTATATGTTAAAAGAATCATTGAGTTGTTGATTTGTATAGTTGTCACACATAAAGTCGGTAGAGAGTGAATTATGTTCCATGATAAGAAATAAATATCAAAATTCATTGTGAAAGACTTAATTGAATCTTCCTCTTATGCATCACTTTGAAAAGAGTTGTTTTGAGATTAATTAATTTAAATATTTATTATTAACAATTTTAATATAAACAAATATATAAAATTCAAAAAAAAAATTTAAAAAAAAAATATTCAAAATGTTACAGAATAGATATAAATCAAATTTTATCTTATACAATCAAACAATACTATTCTATTTTTTGCGCTACCAAAGGATTGTTACAATGAACTATAAATTAAATATTTATTATTTAACTATTTGATTTTAAAAGAATGTTGATAGTCACTAAAGATTACATAAATAAATAAACCAAAAGATGAACCAACAGCAATAATAACCAATCCCCTATTTTAATGCAATAATAACTGATCCGCTATTTTTTGTGATTATTACCTTAGTTTTTAAATTCAAAATCCTTTTATATATATAAACCACGTTAATTAAATAATAAGATGTAATTGATAAATTTGTTAACAAACGATTTTTTTGACAGATTTAATCTTTAAGAAAGTTTGTTATTTAATTTCAAATCATGAAGAGTTCATCCGTACCCTAAAAAACAAAACTCTACACCAATTCTTACGCTCTGCAGCAACCAACAGTATTTCTACAACACTCAGACTCAAAAAAAAAACTACCATTGAGATAAAAAGGCTCTCAGTAGAACAAAAAAACTAAGCTAATCTCAGTGATCGCTCATACTTCAACGTTTCTCCCAACCATCAACATCACACAAGCATTCTATCTGATTTTCTTTCCATTATCAAGAACGTGACTTTATACATTTTCAAGAGTACGAGTTCATCATGGATGAATATGATTGTACCGCACATCCACATATGTTTTCAATCGATTCTGATGAATTATGCGACAATGATCCGTATATCAATATAGAATTCGATTACACCAATATTAATGTTTCGAGTGATCAAATGTTTCCTTATTCAAGTGAAACTAAATTTTATGGTCTTTATTATGTGTCGAAAGATAAAGAAATCGTGAATTCTAGTGTTATTAAGTGGCTTTCTGAAATTGATGTTCCTGAAGCTGCTTTTCCTATGGTGGTAACAGAAATTTCACAATGTGTATGTGAGATGGTTAATGGGGCATATAAGAACTCGAGGAATCTTTCTATTAGAGTTGATTTTTCTGTTACACGGAATCTTAAAGAAGAGGAAATAAAGGTAGAAGAAGATGAAGTTAATACATTGGTTCATGCTGCTACAAGGACTATTGAAGATGACCCCAATGAAATTGGTTATCAAGATGATTGGGAGTATTATTGGGCTGAGGAGATGGATATTGAAGTACAAGAAGATGATGAGTTAAGAAGGACTATTGAAGATGACCCCAATGAAATTGGTTATCAAGATGATTGGGAGTATTATTGGGCTGAGGAGATGGATATTGAAGTACAAGAAGATGATGAGTTAAGAAGGACGGTTGAAGATTATCAGAATGATAATGTTAATGGAGATACACGGAGCTATAATTGGGAAGAGGATATGGAAATTGAAGATAACAGGTTCATTAATGACGTTGAAAGTGATGAAGATGAATGGGAATATGGTTGGGAAGAGGGAATTGAGACTGAAGAAGATATTAGGTTTGTTCCTGCGGCTAAATCGTGTATTGAGGAATTGAAGACGGTAACAACGAAAGAAACAGAAAAATGTAGTATTTGTTTTGAAGATTTTAAAGTTGGTGTTTGTATGCCATGTTCACATATGTTTCATATGGATTGTATTCAAGATTGGTTGAATATAAGCAACTCTTGTCCTTTGTGTAGGTTTCAATTGCCTACTATTTAACACAAGTGAATAATAAGAATTATGTTGCAGTTTTTTCTTACAATTTGTTTTATTAATTGTGGTTTTATTATGTGATGTTTAATGAATGTGTGTTTATAATTACTTAATCAACAAGTGTTTACTTGTTTTTCAAAACTATTTGTTCTGTGAATATTGTGTCACAATAATTATACAGGTGGAGGAGGCAAGGAAACGCAATCCTCCGGAAGCTTTCTTAGCTGTTTCCCATGCTTCAGCTTCTTTTATTGATGTAGGACTTTTTTTATACGCCGCATATACGTACAGAGTTGAAATAAAGGTCAGGTTAGCGCGAGCAGCGTCGGCTTCAATGGCGCAGAGCTCCAATTCATTCATAAGAGCTGCGACAGAAGCATGCTTAGCTATGATATTACGCACATCAAAAGTGCATTCTAATGATATGATATTACGCACATCAAAAGTGCATTCTAATGATAAACACGGAAAAGAATCAAATGAAGCGCATAAGATATACACCGGCTCACCTCTGAAAAGGAAATAGAACCCAAATGAAACACTAAACATACATATTACAAATAAACCAAACTTTTGGATCCTCTAACTTAGCACCTGATGGACATTTCTATCATCAAGAAAACCTATATAGTTTTTGGCATAACAATGAAATTTCACATGATCAGCAAAATCTGAAATCATACTCACTTGTTTACTCGGAAGAGCTTCAAAGAACAAAAGCACATTAAGCAGATAGAATCTAGAAAGATATGATAGTAGCAAAACAACATATAAACCATCATTTTGCATGCTGCAGAGTAAAAGTAAATAGAACAGAACAACTTGTACACTTCCATTTTACCCATGTAACATTACTACAAGCCTTAGGTAAGAAACACTCTTGACCAAGGTTTTAAAATGTCTATTACCGCGAAAATGGCTTGACAAAACGCTATCAGAAGATGCTGATATCATTATTTACCGTTTTATAACCGCCACAAAACACCATTTTGGATGCAAAAATTTCAATGTTGAATTTATATATATAAACCACGTTAATTAAATATTTAAGAAAAATAATTAGCCAATACATACCTCATGATATTTATATAAATTGTAAAAAAAAATATACATTGATTTCTTCATTAGTGTAATTCTATATCATAATCTATATCATAGCCTATTAAAAAAATACTATAATGATATATTAGTGTAATTCAAATCATCAAGCGCTATATTCTCGGCAACAAGTTTGAATATTTCTTGGGAAGTTTGCACGTAACAGGGAAAGTTTGTTATTTAATTTCAAATCATGAAGCTATATATACAACTACTGAATTCAAGAATGTGACTTTATATATTTTTAAGAGTACAGAGTTTATTATGGATGAATATTATTGTAACGCACATCCACATATGTCTCATTCCCATGAATTATGGGACGGCGATCCGTACATCAATATAGAATTCGATTACACGAATTATGGGACGGCGATCCGTATATCAATATAGAATTCGATTATACGAATTATGGGACGGCGATCCGTATATCAATATAGAATTCGATTACACGAATTATGGGACGGCGATCCGTATATCAATATAGAATTCGATTATAAGATTATTAGTATTCCAAGTGATAAAATGTTTCCTTCTTCAAGTGAAACTAAATTTTATGGTCTTTATTATGTGAAGAAAGATAAAGAAATCTTAAAAACTATTGTTATAAATTTGCTTTCTGAAATTGATGTTCCTGAAGCTGCTTTTACCATGGTGGAAAAAGAAATTTGACAATGTATATGTGAGATGATTGATGGGGCATATAAGAACTCGAGGAATCTTTTTGTTCGAGTTGATTTTTCTGTTTCACGGAATTTTAAAGAAGAGAAAATAAAGGTCGAAGAAGATGAAGTTAATACATTGATTCATACTGCTACAAGGACTATTAAAGATGGTCCCAATGAAAGTGGTTATCAAGATGACTGAGACTATTATTGGGCTCAGGAGATGGATATTGAAGTACAAGGAGACAATGCGTTAAGAAGGACAGTTGAAGATTATCAGAATGAAAATGTTAATTGGTTGAATATAGGCAACTCATGTCCTTTGTGTAGGTTTCAGTTGCCTACTAATAAGAATTAAGTTACAGTTTATGATTACTTATCCAAAGAACAAAAGCACATTAAGCAGATAGAATCTAGCAAGATATGTATAAGCCATCTTTTTGCATGTTGCAGAATGAGAGTAAATAGAACAGAAGATTATAACTTGTACACTTTCATTCTGCCCATATAACAATTACTATAAGCCTTAGGTAACACTCTTGACCGAGGTTTTAAAATGTCATTTACTCACAACAAAAAGGTATAAGAAGATGCTGACGTCGTTATTCACCGTTTTATATTGAGAATAAATTACAAACTAAAAGCCATTATAACTGCAACAAAACACTGTTAAGGCCATAAAACACTGTTTTGGATGCAAAAATTTGTATGAAATTATAAATCACAGAAAATATTACTTATTTTAGTTATTATATTTTTATTATTTTAATTTTTGTTTAAATTAGTTTAACTTATTTTATTTGAACACTTATTTAATTTAGGTATTCTTAATTATTTTAATTTTATTTTAATTATTATATTTTTATTATTTTTATTTTTGTTTAAATTAGTTTAACAAGGTATTCTTAATTATTTGAATTTTATTTTAGTTATTATATCTTTATTATTTTTATTTTTGCTTAAATTAGTTTAACTTATTTTATTGTAACTTTAATTTTTTTAAATTATTATTAAAGAAAAGTCAAAATGAAGTGTACAACTATGTTATATATATATATATATATATATATATATATATATATATATATATATATATATATATATATATATATATATATATATATATATATATATATATATATTATCCATATTGTTGTATTAAGTTTGTAATAAATTTTTGAAATATTTATTTCATTAAGTTGTGAACATACTATTAGTTTATTGAATAAGCGGTTCAACCATGAGTTTAATCGGTTGAACCAATTAAAACTTAAACCGGAAGTTTCACCAGTTTAATCTTCGGTTTAATTTTTAAAACATTGCTCTTGCTATGTGCTAAAACTGTATTGTCACACCCTCATTTTCACCTTAGCCTTTCATATCCTACATTCATCATATCACACATCGTTCTAGTGCATATCGAGCATGTGGGTTTACAAGGTAAGGATTGGGTCGGTTCGTTGGTTTCCATTTCAAATAAGAGAAATTGTCTATCATGGGGTACATTGAAGAAAGGTCTATCATCTAAGGTTTGATTCAAGTTGAAAAGTCTACTCATTTAGATTTCTTCAAAGAGAAGTTAGTTGAAAAATATTGAGGTATTCAAGGTCAATGTTCCTAATGAACATGATTGGCAATGCCTAATTCAAGATTTCTTCATCCAACTTTGTTTCAAATTCTATGTTCAAGTGGAATTCTAAAGATCATAAGTTCATAATTCAAGACTTCAACCATTTCAAATTCACTGGCATAAGGGAGATTCATCATTCCAAATTCAAGATTCATGAATTCAAGATTAGATTCAAAAATATCACAAAGGGAAATTTCATGACACTGCAAGAATGTAACATTTGTTACAAAGTTTCCAACTCTAAGTAATGCTTAGAAAGTTAAGCTACTTCTAATATTAATTCAAGTTTATAATCAACTTCATGCTATGGTACCCTTCATGTCTCATTAAGCTTACATGTTTGACATTATGCCTTTACATGATTCACAACCAAATAAGCCCACAAACATCCAAGGAAAATAATTAAGGTTCAATTCAATATTGGAACATTTCAAAATCAAGACCATTTGTGCTTATCCATGGGCAATTTCAAGACATTTTCAAGTTAGTCCAAAACATCTCCATGCATGTCCTAAGCAAGAAAGGACAAATTATCTCATAACCAAACAATTCATGTCACAAAACCAAAGGAATGAACTCATAACGATGCATCTAAATATCAGAATTTTGAAAGTTAGACATAGGATTGCGATGATCCTAGCGAGCACTCTTCTTTCTTTTCCACCTTTAGTCCTCAATTCCTCTTCACCCAAAAAAGGACATGTCACGTCCATTCTATCGCAAACAGGTAACGCATAAGACTCCACGAGCGAGCCGCAATACACATAACTGCTAGAATGCGCACGATAGCATCGTCGACAAAAACATCCCATTTTCACCGTAGTCCCGTTGTAATACCCCAAAATTTTCCCCTGGATTATTAGGTTCATTTCATTTCACTTTTGCATTGCATTTAACTAATCACTAACAAGTTTGCGTTGTTGGTTGAGTTTTACAGGAAAATATCATGTGGCGCGCTCTTTAGTTTATGAAGGGTAAAATAGTCATTTGTTTGCTGTCGGCTGTCATTTACGAATTTTAAGCTGTAGTCAGGAAATTTGAGTCGTTGGACATTGTTGACGTGAGTCATGGCCGAGGTGTAGTTGGAATGGTTTGATTGTGGAGGATTTGAGCTGTTCAAATTAAGTCATTCCAGTTGTTGGATTGCAGTTAGTCGGAGAATGTGATCATTTGAATGTGATCAGACAATTTGGATTTGATCGGATAAGGTTCCTGTGGATTACCAGAAGGTTTAATCGGAAGTTCTGTTGAAGACGAGATTAATCATACAAATTGGAGGAATTAAGAATTATTAGAAAATTGAGAATTTCATTTCATTTTAAAAAGAAAAAACACAATTCATTTCATTTTCTAATATTTATTTTCATTTTAAATTTCCATTTCTGATTTTATTTTAGATAACAATTTTGTTACGGTTTAAATAGTAGTTTTCATTTTGCATAAAATAACACAAAAAAAAACAAAAAATAATAAATAATCATGTTTTTACAGTAGTTTTATAACAAAGAATTTTGTTAGTAATATTAATTCTTTACAAAAACTAATAAGTAAATAAAGAATTTTATTACTGATACTCATTCTTTACAAAAAAAATTAACAAATAAATAAAATTA